GGTATACCCCATATATATAAACGTTAATTAACAATATGCATTTATTTGACATTTGTGACTTATTCTTATGGAAAAGTGGGTAAAAAAACCTATTTAGCTTTCGTTGTATTATGGTGCCTAACACATTCTGGCCGACTGTTGTTCAGCAGACTTAAAAAAAAACAATAGAATTTTTATTATACGCCCTTATGGCATCCGAGGTGAGTCCCGGAGATTATAAAGGCGTATAAATTTTTTTTTGCATTTCTGCACATTTTGGACAAAAATACGTTGAATCCCGGAAAAAAGTTTTTTATACGCCCTTATGGCTTTTCACCGGTATTTTTTGCCATTATACGCCCTTATGGCAACTGAAACGCGATATTGTGATAGGGATTAAAAAGTCTTGATTAGAATTTGAAAGGGTTCATATTCTTTTCTAAAATATTTTATTTATTATAACAACTTTTGGGTCTTTATAACACTAGTTATAAATAGATTTTAGTTTCAAGCTAGATGAAATTTATTTATTTATTTTATTTTGGATATTTTTAAATTTTAACTGCTTCAATTTGTTAAAATTTGAAGTGTCATTAACCCGGAAAAAAAGTTTACACACGATTAACTAATCTGACTATTATAATATAAATATAAACTTTATGAGTTCATTCAATGCAAGCATTATCTGGCGAAAAACGTAATATCACTATTGATAAAACAATTAATAAATAATAATAACTCTTTATCAATTCCAGCATACTACATAATATACTTATCATTCGACGATCCACAAACACCCGAGGGTATCGATGACACTGTGAGTAACCCAATGCCCTCGCCAATGGAAAGTGTAATGGCTATGTTTTTAATAAGTTTATCAAATTTCGGCGATTACTACAGTACATTTGAGCGCACTGCTTACGAAATGGAAGCTAAGGTATTAAATAATAATAATAATAATATAAAATTCGATTTTCAGAGAATTTTATTAGACCAAGTGTTTAAAAAAAGTTTAAAATTTTATTTAAGAGCTTTTTTTTATAGATAAAAAAAAATTATAGGAAATCTTTTTTGTAAAAAATTGTATTTTCTATAAAAAAATATTCTTATCAATTTTTTGCTCTTATCATTTAATCACAATTTCAATTTAAAATTCGATTTTCCATACACAAAAAAAAAAGGCTCATTTGAGCCAAGAAAATATTTTTTTTCCTAATTATTTTTTTGAGCGAAAAAAAAAATTTTTTTTTAGAAAATTAATTCTCTATAAAAAAGATTTTTATCAATTTTTGTTTAGCTCTTATTATTTATTCGGAATATTAATTTTAAGTTGAATTTTAATCTTGTTAAAAATAGTAGTAATAATAATAATAATGCGTATTAAATTGATTGATATTTAATTTGCAGTGCCTGTTTGTAGTCTACATGGCGATAGTAGCGATTTTGCTGGTGAATATGTTAATCGCTATGATGGGTAACACGTATCAGAAAATAGCCGAGACGCGCAACGAGTGGCAGCGACAGGTAATTTACATAAAAAAACAAACCTTTCAAATATAATACACTTATAAATAGCTTCTTATTTAAATCCTCCAAGTTCAAGCTATAAATATAAAAAAAGCTTTTTAGTTTTTAGCTCTGATTACTTATATTAATAATATTGTTTTACTTTTGAGAAAGTAGAACTCGGTTTACGTAAACTCCTTGGTAATGTAATGTAATGTAGGACGGATTTTAAAAAACAACTCACATGCTGGCATACTTGTATGTTTGACAAACTTTTATTATTGTCGATTTTTTATTATGGACAATTGGATGTTTGTCTGGACTTATATCTTGAGGATTTATTGTTTGAGTGTATTGATTAGTTTTATGACTCAATGAGTCGATACTTTCATTTCATTGTCTTTTTTTTAGTAGACATAATAATTATTGATTGATATTTAAATATTGTGATTTAAATTTTTTGTGTGTACTTAAATAGATTTACATTGAAAAATAAATTAAAAAGTTATTAAGAAGTATCAATTATAATAATAATTTATATTAATGAAAATAAAGTTAGCTGAAATCTAAAAATTTTTGTAATTTTTTTTATTAAAAAATTATTACATAAAAATAAAAAAAAAAATTATTTTCATTTGTTAAAAACTTCAAAAACTATAAGTGCAATTTTTTAAGAATATTTTTTAGTTATAATTTAATAAATTAAGCAAAATAAAAAAATAAAAAATGTCGGCTAACTTTATTATTATAATTTTAATATTATAATAGTATTAATAATCATTTCAATTTTTAGAGAATTTTATTAGAGCTTGTATTTAAAAAAGATTAAAGTCAAAATTTCGGGCTCTTTTTGAGAAATAAAAAAAAAAAAATTGTAAGAGACCTTTTTTTTTTTGTAGAAAATTTAATTTTCTATCTAAAAGATTCTTATCAATTTTTTGCAATCTCTTATCATTTAGTCAGAATTTTAATTTCAAGTTTATATATAACTTGAATAAAATTTAACTGTGTTAAAAATAGGCATGATCTATATTATTAAGAGAATAAGACAATTTTTTCTCTAGGATAGTCATATGATAAAATCGGTTTTATTAGTGAAATTTAGTGTCATTGCAAAGGTCGACTTGAATTTTAGCCTTTTTAAGGTTTCATATCGTTTTCACCGATAGTCAATATATTATGATAAGTATTTCGGCTGCATTTAAAAATACTCTATCTCTAGATACTTAATTAAGAAATGACCTTGTATCTTGTGAAATATTGACAATCTTAAAGATATAAGCTCACCCCAACATTACACTCATCGAGACCTTTCATTTAAGTACCCACATCAATTTTTCATATATTTATATATATTATATATTTCACAAATACCATATATATAAAATATATAAAAAATGCCATGTGGGTATTCAAATGAAAGGTCTCGATGATTGTAACATCGGGATGAGCTTATATTTTTAAAAATATCAACAATTAAGAAATGATCTTTTATCTTATGAAATATTGACATTTTTAAAGATATAAGCTCATCCCGATGTTACACTCATCAATACCTTTCATTTGAGTACCCACATCAATTTTTCATATATTTATATATATTATATAATATATATGTATATATGAAAAATATATCAAAAATGCATGTGGGTACTCAAATGAAAGCTCTTGATGAGAGTAACATCGGAATGAGCTTATATCTTTAAAAATGTCAATATTTAAGAAAGTACAGTACGATTTAACAAAAGTCATTATTTAATAAAGAAAAATTTTATTTATTTTATAGTTCACAAGTCACGGCAGTCACATAGTGACTGCAAGGTTGCTAATTATTATTATATCTTTTTTTTTTTTAATTTTATGTACTTGAATAAATGAAGATATAAAAAATTCTTCTAAATTTCTAATTACCATCATATCAAACTGTATCGTAAAAATTATTCAATGTTTTTTAAAATAAATTTTTTCTAAAAAAATAAATTAATAATTTTAGTGGGCGAGAATTGTCTTGGTCGTTGAACGAGGTGTAAGTCCAGCTGAAAGGTTGAAAAAACTAATGGATTATTCTCAACCAATGTCTGATGGAAGGCGTGCTCTTGTACTCCGTTTACATCAATCAGTAATTTATCAATTTTTTTCCAAAGAATTTTATTTTACAGACCTTAAATAAAATCTTCTTAAAAAGTAAAACAAAAATTATCTTTTCCAGGAAGACGATAAAGAAGAGATGAAGGAAATATTGGAAATGAAACGCACCCACGATAGACTGTACAAAAAACGGATGGCTCGGAACAAAAAAGACAAGTCTCTGAGTATAACGTGAATTTATTTTTTCACACCTAAATTTATGCTGTTCAATAATAAATAACAACTGTTTGGATCAATCTTGGGGTGAACTGTAAGAGAAATTTTCCACGAAGTCTATATGAAGATATTTATTAAAAAAATATCAACAGATCTGTTTTTTGAATTCTGTGAAATTTTTTATACTTAATTTTGTTTTAAAAAATTATAAATATTTTTTTTTTTTTATTAAAATTAATTAAATTCATAATAATTCACCCGAAATAAAAATTGTAAATAAATTTTTAATAAACAAAATATTTTTTAATTATTTAAATTTTAATATTAATAGACTTTACAGAATTCCCGTTGCTATGACAACAAAATAAATAAATAAATCGATAAAACGTCACGAATTATTTTGTGAATAAAATTTACTTTAAAAGGAAGTTAATTAGTAAATTACTTATGAATATTTTAAAAAAGCCAATTGATTACGAGGGCTTGGAAGAGGAACTTGAAGAAGCTCTTAAGGAAGATAATTTGTATGAATTACGAAATAGCGCAAAACTGAGGGCTGTTGAGCAACGAGTGCCTACTTATGAGCACTTTCGGCAAATGGCGAGTTGACCTATAATTAAGTATTCTAATAAATTTATTTTTTTTAAATTAATTAATTAACTTTAGGTGAATGGTGCGCATTTGAAACCGCTGGAGCCAAAAGACAAATCAGAGAAGACAAAAATTAATTGGAACCGAGAAAGTAGAAATTTGGGGATTAAAAATTTTGAGGAAAAAAGGCTTGATGGTTGTGATAAATTGTCTAAGAGTGGGAGAGATTTTTTTGAAGAATTTGGTCAGTATGGTTACAATAAGTTTGATGTCCTGTATGATAACAGGTAAAGTGTGTTTATTTTTAAAACAATTTGTTAATGTGCTAATTTAATGTTAAAAATTATTTGACCGTCTTTAAATATTTATTAAATATCAATGAGTCTTTTTAACAATTTTATCAGTGTTATAAAAAAAAATAACTGTATCGGATTCGAACCCTGGAAATTCTAAAAATTTTTTAAAGAACTTAAATACTTAGATTTTAGAATTCTAACTACGAGAACTGTAGCCATCTAGCGGAGATTTTACGAACTAAATTTTTTTTACTTTTCACTTTAAATTATTAAATTTATTTCTGAAAAATTAAATTAATAAATTTTATTTAACAAATTGTCGTGTTAAAAAATCATTTAATAGCAATTAAAAAATTTTATTAAAAATTAATAAATCCTTCAGTGTAAAAATAAAAATTTCTTTCTCCACGATTTGAACTCTGGACGTTCTAAAAATTTTTTTAAAGCATATAAATATAAATTTTCAACACTTAGTTCACCAGACATAATTAGCTTCTTTCTTAAACTTTTTTTAAATGACGTTAAATCAATCAAATATTAAGATTATGTAATAAAAACAAAAGAAAATCGTATTAAAAACAAATGAATGAAAAATGAGAGTCTTTTGTGTTTATTGGCGGGAAAAAATGTATGTAAAAGTAAATCGTAAAAAAAATGAGAAAGGGTTGATAAAATCAAAAAAATAAGTAGCCTATAACCATCTACAAAAAATTCTGCGTCGAATGATAGCAGTCCCATCTTGATAGCTTCAGTAGTTTTGACGTCAACTTTAGTCAAACGAACCCTATTTTGCTTATATATATATATATATATATATAAATAAGTTGATACAGAATTAATTCTAACTGGAAATAGTCATTTTCAAACACATGTCCCAATTCCTGACAAGGATGTCCCAATTATTGTACCAGCTAAAAATTTGTGAAATTCTTAAATTAAATCTTTCGAATGAATATAAATGATATAGATAGTATATTTTTTTATATTTAATAAAATATAAAGGGTAGGCTTGATAAAAATCCAAAAAATAAGGAGCCTATAACCATCTACGAAAAATTCTGCGTCGAATGGTAGCAGTCCTATCCCGATAGCTTCAGTAGTTTTGACGTCAACTTTAGTCAAAGGAACCCACATTTTGCTTATACTTAGAATATTTGAAAAATCAAAAATTTGGGTCAAATCAGTTAGAATATCAAGTCAAATTTAAACTGACAAAATTTTTTATTTTTAATTATACAAAATAATTAAAAATATATTTTTCTATAAAGAAAAAAATAATTTTCCTTGCAATAAAACCTCTAATGTACTATGTTGGTATTCTCAGGCAATCAATAGATTTATTTCCACGAGAACAGAAGGATAGATTAATAATAAATGATTGAAGTAGGCCAATTAATCAAATTCTTTAGAAATATTGAGAGTGGTATGACAATGGGCAAATATATTTCGTGTGTCAACACTCGGTTGTGAATATGATGGTCATGATGGTAATGATGATGATGATTATGATGATTATTACCACCACCATCATCATGATGATCATTATGACGACGAAGAGGAACAAAACTAGGCGATTCATTGAAGGTGTAGAATAGCGTAGAATAATAGTTTATGGTAGCGGCATGTGCCACGCCTAGAAGCTCAACTCGTACGGCGCCAAGGGAGGCATCGATATAGCCCGGCTGTGTCATCTCCTCTCCTCTCCTCTCTTCTCTTTCATCTTCTATCCTCGATCCACTTTTCCGTTCCATTCTGTTCCACCATCCCTCCTATTCTATCCCTCTTGGCTTACATCTGCTCCAGGGTTACTGTTAGTGGGTTGCCAAACTTGTACTATATCCTGCATGGATTGTAGGAGGTGTTTGAATGTCAGAATACACGCCAGAACAAAAAAAAAACTACTGCAAAACATAATATGGATGATGCCGTAAACAAAAACAAAAACACCCGTATTTATCATATCATACTCGATCTCATTCAGATCAGACCAGTTGACCTCGTTTATGATCGTTTAGCCTTTATTATTTAAGATATAAATTTTTTTCCTCTTTGGAAAATAATTTTAGTATGATTTTTATTTTGTAAAAATTTGGTACTGGAGCGAATTGACTTTTTATTTTTGCTAAACAGTGAAAAATATAGGATAATTGACAAAAACCTATTTAATAGAAAATTTAATTTTGTATCAAAAAGGTTTCTTATGATTTTTTTTTGTGTTTTTAATATTTAATCCAAAATTTTTATTTTTTATTTTATAAAAATAAGATTCAATCAAAAATTCTTACAACTGCATTTTAAACTTAAATTCACTAAAAAATTGACATTTTTTAAGATATAAGCTTACCCCGATATCACACTCATCGAGACCTTTCATTTGCGTACCCACATCAATTTTTCATATATTTTATATATTTATATATTTATATATATGTATATATGAAAAATATATCAAAATGCATGCGGGTACTCAAATGAAAGCTCTTGATGAGTGTAACATCAGGATGAGCTTACATCTTTAAAAATATCAATTATTAAGAAATGACCTTGTATCTTGTGAATTATTGACATTTTTAAAGATATAAGCTCACCCCGATATTACACTCATCGAGACCTTTCATTTGAGTACCCACATCAATTTTTCATATATTTTACATATTTATATATATTTCACAAACACCATGTATGTAAAATATATAAAAAATGCCATGTGAGTACTTAAATGAAAGGTCTCGATGAGTGTAACAACGAAATGAGTTTATATCCAAAAAAATGTCAATAATTAAGAACTGACATTGCTATTTTGTCAACTAATGATATTTTTAAAGATATAAGCTCACCCTGACATTACACTCATCGAGACCTTTCATTTAAGTACCTACATCAATTTTTCATATATTTTGATTTTTTATTCTTATAGAAACAAGCTCCAATCAAAAACTCTTACAATTGCATTTTAAACTGAAATTCTGGTTAAATGATAAGAGATAAGGAAAAGTGATAAGGACCTTCTTGATAGAGGATTAAATTTCCTATAAAAAAGGTTTCATATCCTCAACATTTCATCCAAAATTTTGATTTTTAATTTTATGAATGAGTGTTTCATTGAAACGGGCGAAATTAAATTCCGGCTAAATGATAAGAGAAGAAGGGAAATTTATAAGGACATTTTTTTTTTTTGGAAATTAAATTTTCAACAAAAAAGATTTCTTGTAATTTTTTCGTATCCAATATTCAGCTCAAAATTTATCCCATTAAAAACAAATTAATTCAAATTAAAAGTCCAAATTTATTTTAATTGTTAAAAATTAAAAATTTATATCAATAAAACTCCGAAATGTAGTTTGACGTCAAACAAAACTCTCAATGAGTTTCAATAAATCCTCTTTACTAATAATTAAAAGAATGAACAACAAATGAGTCACCAATTTTATCATTAAAATTAATAACACACTCAAAGAAAATATGACGCGTAATCGAAATCTAAATCTAATTTGGAGAAAATTGTAACGGCTCTATTGCGTGTGGCGATAAATTGTCCGAATCTAATGAACTTTTCTTCAAAACGGATCGATAAATAATTCCTTTGTTGGAAATTATACAACCGATGGAATCAAGTCTATACTTCAGGCTTTTATACTTTTTTTATTAATACAAGAGGATTTAATTTATAAAACAATTTATCGTTCGATAGAATACATGTAATACTAACATTTAATATTTATTCCCTCAATTGGATCACCAGATTCAAGTGGATTTCATGTGATTCAAACTAGATTCTACTAGTCGATTCTTATTTAATCTCAATCATTTTTTAAACTCTTACAATCGAATCGAATCCAATTTGATGAAAAAATTTAAAATGAAACTTAAACTTTGATCTAGGTTTTAGATTATTATTATCATTTTATTTATTTAACAATGAAATGATATTTTGTTTTGAAATTTAATTCAGACACGTGAAAATTTTCTTGAGTCAAGAATTTTGTTCTCCAGAGTCAAGAAATTTTTCTTTATGTGACGAGACCTTTTTGTACAAAATTAAATTCTTTACGAAAGGACCTCACCAATTTTTCCGTATCTGATATCCTTCACGCATAATATCAAATCAATAAAAACACCCTTAAAATTATCAAAAATTCTCTCTATTTCATCAAAACCTAAAAAACAAAATCATCATAACTACCCTTGAAAAAAATAGGCGTGGAGCAGCTGAATTACCTGGTATCCAAGCTCTTTTGTCGGTCTTACTAGTGATCAGCACACTAGCATCTAACGGGTGACTCTTACACAAGAATGCCGTATCCACATGAAGGATCAAGAGTTTCTTTAACTGTGCCGGTACTACTTCCCACCCAGAAATCCACCCACACTATCAAAAGCTTTAGGCGCCACACATTAGCCAGGAGCTTCTGGTGGTAGTTGTTCCTAGTTGTTAGTCCGCGATTGCGCGTTCAACATCCAGCCTTCAGTGCGCGCCGGGCGGCGACAAACTAATGGGAATGCCGCAGTCGATATCCTACACCAGGACAAGCTCCATCCCGGTCTTCGTAATCGTGATCGTGGAAGTAAAACAGTTATTCGTTAGTCTGGTTGATGATTCCCAATTCCTAATTTGGGGTTCATAATTTAAAATTCATCAACTAGGATTCCAACTGGAAGGTTTCTCCAGGATCCTGTTGGATAAACAAAGTCCCTCCCTCAACAAGTTGATAAATGACCCAGTTTGTTGTTTGAGACTCGAATAAAGTGAACAAAGTGAATGAACGTCATCTAGCTGATCAAAACAAACTGATCCTTTGATTACTGGAAGCGTCCAGGTCCAGGTCCAGGTTACAGCAAGGTTTAATCCAGGTCGAAGATGGCGTGGGGCTACTGGAGTGCGACTTCGGTGAACGATCGAGGGCGTTCTCCTCGTCGAGAAAAGGACAAGCAGCAGCAGTCCCAGTATCAGACCGCGAGTGAAGTTGGCGCCCAGGTTCAGCAGCTCCAGCAGCA